ATTTGAGGTACAGGCCGCGGCCTAATTTCAGGGTGTAAACGTAGCCAATGATTTAGAAATAATAATTAAAAAGAAGTAATTTGAAATTTTATAAAAGTTCAGCCTTGTACAGATCTTTTTCGGAAAATGTACCTATAATTATTTAAGTAAATATTTAATTGAATGATAAATAAGAAGTTTGATGCGTGTAAGAATTATTTAATCGTTTATTTATATGTTTTAGAAAATAATGACGCGGGAAGTCGCATTGTTGGATCGATGGAATTCAAGCTGACAACTCGAGAGGACAGCCTGAGAAGAGGAAGAACCCTGGGAGAGGCATCGGGCGCCAACCAACGTATCAACTTTATAGTATATTATTTTTTATGTTGTGTAAAATTAGTTCTTTTGCCTGTGTGTTCTCACGCACGTAAAAAAGTGAAACATTTTTTATTTGAAAATTGACTTTTTAAACTTAAACATATAATGTCTTTGGAACAGTAAGAAGTTTTATGGTTTCAAAAGCACCCGCAGATAGTCAAAACTGTCGAAAACAGATTTTTGAAAGTGTTTACTGCAAATTTTGGCGATAAAATGTCAGCAGAAACATAATAGCATCTTTGTTAACAGAATATAACGGTAAATTGATTGCAGAGAAACTGAATAAAATCTGCTGTTTCGTAACTATTTAAATGATATATTCCATTTTAAATGTTTTTGTGAAAGAACAGATTCTCCTCGGCTTCTGTCGACAATTTACTGCCAGATTATATAAGCAGACTCTGCCGGCAAAACACTCAAGTTTACCGGACCTGTAGTGCGATATCTGAGCAAATCTGTTGCTATCAATCTGTTGTCATACTGGAAAAATAGTTTGCTTACTGGGTATTTTTTATTTAAATGTGCTAAAATATCTTCTTCATCTACTATATTACTTTTGAGAATTTAAAATTTTTTTATGATAAAATTAAAGCTCATTTAACCTTATATTATTTTCGAAAAACCGAATAATTATTTGTTGCTTTGTACGTCTTCTTTATTTCTCTCCTTTTTGTATATATAATACATATACTTATATATATACATAGACTAGTCCGTTAATCAAAGCTCTTCGCATTTTCAAAGATCGCTTAGACATTGACATTGACTCGTAGTTTACCGAATATCGTACACATCATGTACTTGCAATTTTCTGTGCATTAGGAGCTTTATCAGATTCGAAATATTTCCCGTAGAGTTCCCCTGTGTCAAACGTTCTTAATTCTGATTTTATGATAACATTTATTTGGTGCATAGTTCCTGTAGCGTTATGCTCTAATTGTGCTTTAAAGAATTATTCATTGCCAAATGTTTGGATCGATATAATATAGCTTGTGGACTCTGAGCGACATTTATCCTCTCGCATCTTACGCCAAAATAGCGATTCGATGATATCGATAAATATTCAATCCCCGATTTTTACGTTTTCTTCAAATCGCTCACGAAGCCAGAAAGCACAGAATCCCGAACTCAGTGGATGCGACAATGACTAATCTGCAGTCGAAAAGTTTCGCTAAGAGTTTTCCATGTACTTATGTACGTCTTACGTCTTATGTACGTCTTACGTCTACATCATGCACATTTATTTTTTTTCGTGGGTGTAACACGACAAACACACGGATTATATTTTCTTGTAGACTGTTATTTATGTACTCGAAAGCACGAAACGTATCATGTTTATCGATAACGCGTTTACTCTAAGACAGCTCAGTAAACACCCTTTACAAATACTCGGAATTATTTTCCACGCAATGGTGAAATCGAAGAGATTAAATGCTGCTTAATGTGTCTCACATTGTGGTAGAAGATATATACAGGGTATCCCAGATCTCCTGTGTCAATCGTCACAGGATATCGTTGAGCCTAAAAAATCCTGACTCCGGTAGAAAAATGTCTCAGAATTCTTAATATTATTATTAATTAGAATGTCTATGAAAATTTCAAAACTTTCTCAGATTTTTTATACGAATTGAAACATTTTTTAAAGAAAAATTTAGATAAAATAATAAAATGCGCAATTCACCAGAAATTTTCACACACATATATATATATATATATATATATATATATATATATATATATATATATATAGATACTGAAATATTCCTCATCCAATTACTTCTGAAAGTATCTGTGAAAAATGACATTTTTTTCAAAATTTTTCACAAATCTAAAATCTGAGCAATTTTTTCACCAGAGGAGGCTATATGTATAATAATCTTTAAATAAGAAGTGTTTGAGTTGATCCGAAACTCAGACGTTTCGGCATAGGATAATATAGTGAAAGCGTTTTCAAGCATCAGTCCCTGATATCAAAATTGACATATCTCTGCATACATCTTCATTATTAATGTGTGCGATGTTTGCAACCATGCGCGAATAATTCGTTTGATAAACTTTAAACACTTCTCATTTAAAAATTATTATAGATAATATTGACATTTTAATATCAGGATTTTTATCTTAAAATAATCTCCAAAACCATTAACAGTTATCACAGGAAATCTAAGACACTCTCTATATATGTATATATAAATTGTTTTTTATAAGAGTAAAGTATTCGAGTTAGTTGTAGAAATGGATAATTAATGTTAGATACAAAATATATTTATATATATATCTGTGGTAATATTTTCTATTTTCCCCCTCTCTCTTCTACTCCTCAGTCCGTTCTCTTGTCCTTGGTATAATAATGGTATAATATAATAATGAATATCTCTCTACAATATAAATATAATCTTTCTTTGACTTTTCGCAAGGCCAGCATAGAAATCACACTAGACAGTAATGAAACTTAGTCTCCGGAGACCGATCAGACGATGATTTCCATAATTGAACGCAACTTTCGACGTTATGTACATTGTACAAGTAAGGAGGCTCAGTTAAATTCTTTGCAAGTATAATAGTCTATATAAATAGTCGTAATATAAATCCTCTATAGATATCTAATAATAGGTAGTATACAAGACATTTCTGAAAATACTCAAATACTCAAATTACGTTCTATGATAAGATAAACGTCCACAACGATAACACTGTAAAAAAAAATTGCACGAAGAGAACGAAGGTAATTGCTTCCCGTAGTTGAAATTCTGGAGATTACCCTCGTTCCCGTGCTTGAGAACAGTGGGCTATTAATGAACAGTGTAATCACTTCTCTGATAATATATAGAATAGATATTGCAGTTCAGACTCTATATAGACGCGATTTTTCCTGTATTCTCTGGTTTATCGGCCACTTATCTCGGATTGTTTCCCTCAGATCCAATTGAATCACGGATATAAATATTTAATTTTCTCTTTGTCGCAGATTTCTATCAGACATAACATCAACGATCAACGAAAACAAATCCGTCGTTATTTTAGATTAATGAGATATTTTGTACATTATTTTCAATTTAACATATTTAGAACAATTCATATATTTTTCCTCCTTCTAGAATCATTTTAACACATTTAGAATAATTCGTATATTTTCTCTCCTCCCGAAATAATTTTAACGCGTTTAGAATCATTCATATATCTTTCCTTTTTCTAGAATAATATGTATATCTCGTTACTGTTCTTCTTAATGTCAAAATGTCCCACAAGCCTTTGAATCTTTGTACAATGACATATACAAAACCTTACTTAAATGGTGCTGACATATGCTAGTCATCGTTTCGATCAATTAATTTATAAATAACGCAAAAGCATAAGAATATCAGTAGATTTCGGAAAATATAATTCCTATTCAATCCTCTAGTACTATGAGAGATTGAAAGATGCTAGTTTTATTAATAAGTTCGTCCGAAATACTGCGACTTTAGTATCTTCATCTACATCATTTTTCCTCTTCCTGCTGTTATCGAATTTAAGGTAAAAAAAAATTTCGCTTTTTTCTTATTTTTGGTAGAAATGCGATAAAGAGAGAGAGAGATAAATGTTTAAATTATCGATACTACAGCGGCAGTATATCAGTCGTTGTTCTTCAATAGTATGTAAAGTGTTGTTGGTACAATCAATCACGTTATATTAGTAGTAGAACAGACTTTACGTATTCTCGAAAGAGAAATGTCGAGGCGACATCGCATAGGCAGTGATAAATATGATGGTCTGTCAAAGTAGTTGCGAGAACGATGCTTCTATTTCCTTTTTCGGCGAAAGTATCTGACGAAACAAAACTTGTAATTTCTTTTCAACCTGTAAAAATAATGGAAAACGGGAAAACAGGGGAAACAAGGAAGTAAGAAAAAAAAAAGAAAAGTTATGAATTTTACTACATTAAACTTTGGTATTATGTGTGAGTGAACGTCATCGTTCCTCCTCTTTGTGCCAGTTCGCTTAGCGCTTTCGAGTATCTGTCCTATATTAACGATTATTTACAATGATCATACAAAGTACAACATAATCAATGTTAATAAAAGTATTAATAATAGTAAAGCTGATAATAATAATGGTATAAGAATCGTATTAATACTAGCCATAAGAAATAACAGAAAGATCGACACCTGTCAACCAAGAACGAATACAAAATACTTAACTTTAGATGGAGAACAGTGAATGATAACGCATTTTTCGTTTACGAGTGCAAAAGAGAGTAACGATACTTTGTGAAGACACGTGATGCATACTTAAATAATTTGGTGCTGTGCACGGTTGGTTAAAAACGAAATGGAAATCAGTTTGTCGCTAAAACTAGCACGCGAGGATGGTGTTTCGAGGATGATTAAATCTCGTAGAGGTTTCTCTAAAACTATTCTCTGGTATCTAATACTAGAAAACTAATAAACGGGTAAGTCTATCGTGACAAATACTGTAGCTAGCGGTACATATTTCCTTCTGCAATCGCGCATGACAAAAGGTTTCTCGACTACGTAAGATCGCATCTAACATGGAAGAAGTTTTATCCAATTGTGGATAATTGGATAATCCGCGCCACGAAAAAATAAACGAGAGCTACATGTTGTTTGCTTCGACAGAGAGATACGTTTTTGTTGCGGCGCATCGTGACAACTTTTGTTTCTTCTTAATGTCAAGTGCTGAGAGAATCCGCGCTTCTTAAAATAACTAACATTACAGATATTCCTACTGCTTCTTTTTGTTATCTGTATCCTTATCTGTATATTGACTACGAATGGTCAACTTAAATCTATCAATAAATTAATAGATAAATATTACACGTGTTTTATAAGTCAAACAAGAACTCTAACAATCTTGAATCTATATTGCAAGTGTCTTGATGACACTTTGGTCACTATACACAGTTTCACAGATTCGTGTTAATTCTACTATCTCGTATATGACTTATAGAACTTGTACCGATCTCTACCTCGAGAAAGAAAACTCGATTTGGATGATCAATCCTCATGGTAAAGCATCTTGCAAACTCTATATGCTCTTGCGGAGCACTAACAATAGACCTTTGGAAGTAATGAATTCCTGGTGAATGAAAGGTACATAGTGTTTAAGTATCGAGTACTCGTCCAGCGTTTAAAAGTCTTAATGCTTTATTTTACGTCTTTGTCATGTTCTTCAGTTCATCTGTTGATATCTGTTTCGCGTATTTTTCAGTAATCTCGATATTGAACTATGCGCGAAAGTGGTGTAACGAGAAAGAATCAGCGTGCGTGCGAAAGCCGTGTGAATTGCGACAAATCTCTAATAAAGATGAAGAGAGAAAATTTATTTCGCACGTTTTCGAAGATAATTTTTCAGATCTACAGCACATGCAATTGTATTCGACCGCAAAGGCCATACTATCTAACATCTCACGAGAGCAACTCGTAATCATGCCTAAAGCTACATGTCGCGCTCGCAAACTTCACACGGTGGATGTCTGCTGGTTATTGTTATCCAGCGGAATGCTCGTGGAGCACTCCTTCAGCATCGCACGTAGTCGCAAAATTTCCTTAGACGCCGTTGCCAAATCGGACTCCAGTTGCAGTTCCTTTTCTCGACGACGTTTCAGTTCACGTTGGCATGTCTGAGATTAAAGTTTGACATTATTTCTTCGTGACCGCAAGTCTTTGGGATTTGAAGATAAAAAATTTCAATTTGATTTATTTCTTACTTACCACATTTTGCCGCAACAAATCCAGCTTATCGCATTTGAGCCTAGTGACCTCCATCCTCAAATTTTCGTTTTCCGCGACTCCGTCTTTACCGGTACACCTTGTGGTATCGTGAGTCTCCGCGGAACTCATAGATTCAAGACCCGTGTCGCTATCGGGATACACGGCCTGATCGAGCTCGAGCTCGCTGTTGAGCGAACTGTCATCGCTTTCCGAGATCACTCGCTGCGTCACCTCTGTCGTTGTTTTCTCCTGTGTGCGTAGATTCTCGTGCGTTAATCGCTGTACCGTTGCTGGCGTTGGCGCCGGGATTTTGTCGATGACAGTGACATCCCTGTCGAGGCAGATAACACTCGTGCCCTGCGATTCCCTGCGATCATATTCGTCCTGTTGCAATGTCGCCAGACTACTGTCTTGATTGTCGGTATTGGATAGACTGCTGTCCTGGCTGCCGAGACTACCGCGTTCCGAATCTCTCCTCAGAGTTAGATCCGGTGAGCCGAGGGGACTGGACGGTTCCACTGAACGCTTGCTGCCGCTTACCTTGACATAGTTACAGTTATCAGTTTATTTAATATCTTATCTTATTTATATTTCAATTTACATTTTAATCTACAATTAAAATTGCAGTTTAATTTTTATTCTGTATATCTATTTTTATCGTGTAATCATGATTGCTGACTATTTCTCTTACGTGGTCATGATTAATTTTATTGAAAAAACTTTATTCTATAACAAATAATAAATACTTTGCCATTCGTTCTTATTTACTTACTTTCGTGACAGTCGACTGTCGATTGCTCGGAGGACTGGACTCCGTCTGTTGACCTTTCTTGGCTAGCTGCTGCGGCACGCTCTCCGTTGATGCGTTTCTCACACGGGAAATCAGTGCTTTGCGTACCGTATCGATAAACCGCGAGCCGCTACCACTACTTCCTGAAGCGGATACGTCGTTCGTTGGACTCACTGGGCAAACGCTCAAGCCGGAATTTCCCAGGCCGAGCGGACCACCGAGAAATTCTGCCGTTTTGGTCTGTAGTTCTTCCATTAAAGATTCCAACAAAGCCGATCTAGTCCGTAGCTAAAAATCGTGCGATTAATTTAGTTGTCCCGTCTTTTCGCGTAGTCTTTTTCAGAAATTATCACGATAGCGAGCTATTGAATGTCAATTACGCGATACTCTCCGAGTTCTCTCATTTTGTCAGATGACGGAAACGGAAGAAAGCGTCTAGACAAAGATACTTACCTCCAACTTGGAGAATTTCTCGGCTTTGTAAGCAGCGTTCTCGGCGTTCACGAGTTTCGTGAGCAGGAACTCTTTAAATTCAACACCTCTGAGAAAGACTGCCGGTGTCGGTAGAGCCGGTCCGAACCAGGGAACGTCGTCGCGTGCCGTCACACTGACTTTGTACCTTAAAATACAACGCCATTATTATTCGTTGCTTCTCGCGTTAATCAACATCGATTATTTGAACAAAAGTGACGTTTTCACGATCGACGTGAAAGATATTTGGACAAATGTTTCGATAATGGACCGTTTGCCAAGTTTAAGCTTTGTGACGTACGCAAGCGGCGTATAAACGGAAAGCAACTAAGAATCTAAGAATATACCTGGTATTAGGAGTGCAAGGGTCGATGACTTGCACGACGATGAAGGCGTGTAAGAAGTGGCTGGCGATCATGTCCGGGCTGAAGGGTGTCGGTTCCTCCTGAAATATGATGGCAACGATGTCATTGCCGATGTGTCGTTTGCGCTGCAGCTGCTGCGAATCGCCCGGGCTATACGGTAACAACGAGGCCACGTGGAACAACACCTCCCGACCCCGGAACACTTCGTATATCGCCGAATCGCCGGTTTGACCGTGTCGAGTATCCAAACCACCGCGATAACTGCAATATCCAGCGAATTGGAAAATAGTATCGAAAAGAAATAAAGAAGAAGTAAAAAGGCAAATATTGAAAATGGCAATTTTTACAATTATATAATATATATTATAATATGTATCTCAGAAACATAAAGGTCAGGATATAAAAAAATGTGTTACACAAAGCCAATTATAAAATGTGGAAAAACTGTAAAGAGACAGGTATTCCATATTGGGATACTGTGTAGAAAAGGGTCAAAGAAACCTTACCCCTTGTGATCTTTGAGATCGATTTTCTGACCAAGAAGATCGAGGAACTCTTGAAAGGCCGGTGTAATCTGTCGATTGCCGAAGAGCTGCTCCTCGGTGAGTTGACCGGCTCGCTGGTGGAGAACGCCAAACTTGAACCTGGAGACCAGGGCATGCTCGTCGTATCGGGCTATCAAGGTACCAGCACCGGGACACATGACCGGCATCAGGGGGTTCACGTTTAGAGACTCGTTGATCGCCTGCGAAAGAAATATTTCTCGATGAGGACATGTACGAACACTATACGAACAACACGTGACCGAGACACGATTACGAAAAAGCGAGGCAAGGTCTTTCCTGTGTTTTATCACATCGGCACGCCTCCTTATCTCTCTCTCTCCTTTTCTCTATTTTCCTCTCTCTTTCTCTCACTTCCTCCTGCCACGGCGATCGCGCACGTAACAGCCAAGAGAGAGAGAGAGAGAGAGAGAGACAGAGATAAAGCATGCATACACGCGGTGGACGTTAAATTATTCAGCGCGTCTATGCGTTTTTGCATAGGAATACACCGATAGAATATAGGACCCAAGGCCGGATATAGCATTTCCATCGCCTGAAGGTAACGAATTTTTAACAGTCGCTCTATGAAATGTTTTATTCATTTTTCGAAAGCGCTTGAACGCTATCAATATTTCTGCAATTTACAAATGTTTTATAGCCAGTATGAAAACCGATGCAAAATGTAGAAAGAAACGTACAAAAGGAAAAAGATGGAAAATAAAATTATTTTATGATTTATATTATTTATATTAGCATCGATTTTAATAAAAATAACGATTTGAAAATAACTCATTCGAAAATTTGATTTTTACTCAATTCTCTTTACAAAATTTTTCATCAATTAACTTATATTTTTAAGTTTTAATTTAGTTTGCTAAAGATTCACACACACATAAATTTGAGAATTCTCTAAATGTGTGTTGCTCCTTTTATCACGATCATATTTCAATGCTTTTTTGTGGAAGTGCGCTAATGTGAAAAAAATGCTGTCATGTTGCGTAATTCATCTATTGTAAGTTTAATAAATAATTCAAACGCACGATAACACCGTATTCGATAATCGCGCTAGATTGAATCCTCATCGTCGTTGGTTCGTTCCTCGTTACGAGAAATCCGATTGCGTGCGAGCAACTGTTTGATCTTAAAACAACTTCGAAAAACCGGGACCGTGAGCGTTTCATTTTACTCGTATTAATATCGGTTCTCCGTAAACACAACGCGACTGTTGTCTCAGGCGTTTCTTATTATCTCTTCAAACACACAGGTAATCGAGTATGCCTGTCTCGAGTGCGCCACCCAGTATAAGCGGCGCTTCTCCGATACGTAAACAGCGCATGATAAATCGCACAATAACTCCAAGAAAGCCAAGTTTCGCGTCGGCAGGTTTAAAAAATGGAACGTGGCGTTCCACCTGATAAGAATTTCTAGCCGCATGATTGATCTCAAAATGCGCCGAAATATTTCACGAAATACATAAACATGCTATGCAAGTAAATATTTTAAACGAAAATTTTACACTCTATTCTATCTAATTACGTAAACATGCTATGCAAATAAATATTTTAAACGAAAATTTTACATTCTATCCTATCTAATCAGCAATAACTCCAATTTCTGAACTGATATTGCTGACATTCTATCCTACCCAATCAGCAATAACTTAAATTTCTGAATTGAGGTCGCTGTAGATTCTTCGGAGTCTTTCACGCTTTCCCAGAAGCGCGTCTCCTTGGCGTTTTAATTCGCAATTTCATCGCGTGACGTTACGCTGACTGGGAAGAATTTATTATCGCGGCCATCGCGGGTGAATACCGTCGTTTTTACCTTGACCATTTTCGACGGCGTAGGATTCGAGCTGAGATTCGTAGCAGGGACCAGGTCGTGCGTCGATCCCGCCCGGAGTCGCAGCAGCACCCGCCAGTGTTCCTGTCCGGCGACCGTCTCGGCCTTCACCGAGACCAGGACCGGGCCGTTCTCACCGTCCCTTCCCACGAGATTCACGTGTTCCTGCGGAAAAAAGAAGTCGAGACGATAAGACGACGCGCGTTTCACGGTCGTGCGGGGCAGTTACGTGCAGCAATTAGCCACGGTTTCCGGTTCCTCTGCGGATACCACGCTGTCGCTGACGCGTCTTTCAGGAATTCGTCGAAAAGCTGAGAAAATCGTGGGAAACGCGTGTGGAGCAATGCTCAAGGATACGGTTGGGTAGATTGGTCGAAAAAAACTTCATCTTTTATCCGCGATAAGCTTCCTCCAACGCGAACCCGTTGAAAAGCCAGAAGTTCATCGGGATCATCGAGATTCTAATGCGTTTCCAAAATATCGGCATAAAGGAGAAATATAACGTCGAATATATATATAGGGTGTTTTCGGAAAATAGCGACAAACTTAAAAGGCCGAGAGATTTCGTAAAATTAAATAATTCTTTCGTAATAAACTCTTTGCAGTGATTTAAAGGATACTTATTAGCAGTATTGTTAAATTGATTATCGATTTAATCGTGTGAATATTCCGAGATTTAATCGTGTGAATTACCGAGACTGTGTTTCAAGATCGATATATAATAATCGACGCGCAATTTACCGAGTGGAAAACACATGTCGCAAGGATTTCGTGTAATTCTTTTTGTTGCAAAATCTCTAGGGAATTCACAAAAAAATGATTATGGAATAGTATGGAATGAATAAAAATTACACAATTTTACTACGAGATTTTAGTGTTTTGCAAGATCCTGGATTCTGTCAGTGAAATTGTGAGCTAAGATTTTTATTTTAATTCATATTTATAAATTATATTTATATGTCAATTTATATTTATATTATATTTATAATTTTTATTCATTTTACAATATCCTGATTTTTTAATAGATTTCCTAGAGATTTTCCAAAAAAACGAATTACACGAAGTCCCTGCGACATATATTATAAATTCACACGAAAAAATATTAGATTACAAAGATACAACTCTACCAAAAAGGCACTTCTCCATTTCCTTGTGACATTCACATATTGCTCAAGTTTCATTTATTATTCAATAACTTTTGTTAAGTAATGCGTGTTTGGCGACGTTTCTTTAAGGCGTTAAGCATACATATGGAGGGGTAAAAACCAGAGTGCTGTAAGTCAAATTTTTAAAAATATTTTCTCGTGTGCACATACGTGCAATCTCTACAATATACAAATTGCATCTTAGCACACGAGAAAATATTTTTAAAAATTTGACTTACACCACTCTGGTTTTCACCCCCTCCATATATAAATAAGCAAATACGAATCGGATACGAAAAGTGCGTTAATTTATGTGTTGACGTCACTAGACACAATCGACGTGGCGATGCAACGTCCGTTAGAACAATTACGGTAGTTCACGCGTTCCGGATTCAATTAGGCGTTACGAAATTACCGCGAGTAAAATAAATATGCACGCGTGCGATCGCGGCCCTGAGCGCACCGTGTTACGCAGCAACGCGTCCACACGCTTTTGCAAACTGTAGTTAGCGTGTTTTGTCCCGCGTGTATATCGTACACGGTGTCCCTCGCGCGAGACACCGCGTATCGAGGACAACGTATTACGCAAACAGTCTCCGGCGAGTTTATTAGCAGGTTTGTTCGATTAGCAGCTTTTTGTCGCTGCCTCGTTTCGTGTGTATGTTCGCCAAGCGGAAGTAGGTGAATTTACATTGGTTTTTCTTTTCTGACACATCTACACGAAAAAAAAGAAGTATTAAATCAAGACTTATATACTCGTATATAAGCAACAATCTATAATCTTGAAATGAGATTATATTGCGCGAAGAAAACTTGCTTGACTGAAGTCATTCATGTAGTTCAACTAAGAAAAAAAAGTTGAAATAAAAAGTTAAAATTCTTATAAAAAGATTATAGATTGTTGCGTAATTTGAGTATGTAAGTTTTGATTTGACACTTGTCCCTTTTCTGTGTATGAATGTCCTCGTAATCGCTGCAGGGAGCTGGCTGCACGAGTTACAGAGTGAAGCTTTGATCAAAGCATTTAAATATTATTACAAGGCGAAAATATGGTACGTGTTGGAGTAATAGGACAATACATCGCAAAAAATTGCTGTAATATTATACGAAGGAAAATTGAAACGCTAAGATAAAAACTGTCCCAGTAAATAACAACTATCTGCTATCTCGTTTCACGTACAAACGTCAGCTCCGACTGACTTTACCCGAGTTTCCTTATATTTAATTATTCATCTAGGAAATGCGCGACCGCACGATTCCGCACGTGTCCTCCGCGAGGCTCCTCAACACGAGGCAAGGGAGAGAAACGGTCCTCGGGTTCTTATATGTTTCTCCGGTCTTTTACGGATAACCGTAAAGGCGGCTGCGAGGCGAGCGTTTCCTACCGTTTTGCCGAAGCCGCGATAGTCGGCAGGGCAACGGCGGCAAATAAAAACGGTGCATCGTCGTTGACCGTGCGTTGCACGCGAGCAAAAGTTTCGAGAGAGGCTTAGAGAGACGCATGAAAAGGTCGGGTCGCGCAGAATGGTGCACGGTGAAATGCATGCATACACCACTCCCTTCTTCCCCTGCGGTGTTTTACTAACCTTCGGATGGGAAATGGTGGAGGGAGTTAGAAAGGGCAACGTGCCCGGAGTTCACAGGAGTTCATGCCGTCGAGTTATTGTATGTACGTTTATTACCACCACTGTCATTATTGCTGCAGCATTAATAACGCAACGGTATGACTATTAAATTGTTAAACGTAATAATATCAGGTAACTGTCCGGCGTGGATTTCGACGAGATTAATTGCGAATTATAATTAAACTGGCTATGTTAAATTAATCGCAAATTGAAATTGAGATTTATAGACCAGTCGCAAATTAAAAATACCATAAAAAATCCATGAAAAATTGCAGCGGATTCCAAACGATATTTAATATAAATTTAAAGTAAGCGCGATGTGACATATTTCTTACGTAACTCTCTAGATTTTTTACTATTGGACTCGTGGACTTTGTGTGTTACGGTTTATGGTCTTCGCGCGTATTAATTCTTATCGAAATGTCTATACGCCCGGCTCGTCCCTTATCGGGCGAGATCTGTGCCTTTAAATGTTGAGAAAATATCGTCCAACCTGCCATTATGCGGACTCGAAGACGGCGCGCCCTTCTATTGTAAGCAACGGGCTTTTACTCCGTACTCCATACTCCATACTCCATGCTCCATACTCTCCTTTGTTCTCCAACCTCTCGATTGATATCGTTAGCCGTTATGATCAGCTCCGAGGTGTACAACCGTTTGCGCTGTTACGGTTCGAATTACTCGCGCACCATTCTTATCTCCCGCAAGTAATCGCTTCTCTCTCTCTCTTCCACGTGTGCGACCCGGCTACTTCTCTTTTCTTGACGCGCGTAACAAACGGCATTACGAGGGAACACGCGATACCGGGGTATCGCGCTCTAGCGAAGGTGCGTGTTCCCGCCGCGCTATTTTCGCGCCGCGAGACGTAACAAGATCGACCTCGCGGCTCGAGATTATAGGGATTCAATTTTGACTGATCGACTAATCCGTTTTGTTGTTATTCGCGTTAGTGTATTGTACAACACTGTTGCACTCGCATCGTGTTCTTTTTTAACAAGAAGAACACGATGAGACATGGTTATTTTCTACAGAGTATTCTGCAGAGATTGTGAAGCACGAAAATTCGGAAATTAAAACGCACGCTTTCTGAATTTCAATTATCACGCGTCAACATGGAGAGACCCGCTTTTGACGTTGTAGCATCGCGTTTACATTACTCGTAGTATTTCCACAAACTATTTAATTTCGGATTTATACGTCAGTGTATCTCGTGTTTCCGCGCGGATTATCGTAAAGCGTTACTTCATAAAATTAAGGATTTCAAGCGTTCGGGTTGCAAGTCAGAAAAACAAGCGCGATCCGAGTAAAAGGTAACACCGTCGGGTAACAATAGGCGGAACGGGAACTCATCCGTCGAGTCTTATCTAGAAAAACTGCCTGAACGGTGTGCCGGAAGCGGAAAATAACGCGCTCTTTTTCTTGCGCACTCAACTAATCGCTAATTAGCAGACTTTCCGAGCAGATATGTAACATTCCGAAATACTTGCAGTAAAACTTGGTAATAATAGTAACGGCGTAAAGAACGTTGTGACTCATCGACGCGTAATAATAGCGAGCCTAATTAGCAGTAAATAATGATAACTTCGCTCGATGGAAGATTTTGTTACGCCGATCACACCAATTACGTCATTTGGCTATCTCTTATGCAGTTTTAGCAATTCTGTAATCGCGCATTTCCGTCGTTGACGGCTCTGTTTCTCGCGCGTGCCCTTTTTCATCGAAAAAGGTCGTATTCTTTTCGTTTCTTCGTACACGAATCGTGTCTCTCGTCATTCCCGAGGGAAAATTCTGGTCCCGTCATGACGATGATTCGACGATGTAAATAACGCAAAGAGGGAGAGAACCGAGGGATGAAAGAGGGTGAAAAAGGGTGGCAGAAGCGCAGAGGTGTAGAAAAAAATCGCGGGTAGGGATCGCGAAAATCAACGACGGATGAATATCGGCGGAGAAGAAGTAGAAAAGGAGAGAAGAAAGAGGAGAGGAGGATTCCCTCTTAGTTCCAGGCATCAGACTTTCGTGCGAGCTATGAGAACGTTCCCACTCCCACGTCCAAAGTGCTCTTTTCCTTTTCTTACGTGCCACCTCTTTTCCCTCCCACGCCGTGACTCTTCCTTTTTCTCCTTCTCGTTATCTCCGTCTCCTCCGTGCACGCGTCCTCCTCCTTTCCTCGCACACCTACGTACGTACATACGTCGGTTGAGTGATCATGGTTCATCACGGTTCTTGCACTCGAATATGGTTGCAGGGGCGGAATAATGTCCGCGTGACGCCCTGATCTCGATGACGAATCGGATAAATTAAGAAAATCGTTCGAAAAAAAACGGGTCGGAACTGTCAAAAGATATGAAATATAGAAAAGACTGTGTAGGAATACATGGTTGATATATCCGAAACTATAAGATCTTGGAGCAGACGCGCCGCCGCGCCTTAAAGACGCCCATAGATGTCTGCAGATGTTGACAAACATCCACGATTTTATCGCGCTTCTGTTACGCATAAGTTATCTAGACCACCATATATTCTTCGTGTATCTATATTTAGCCGAAGATCACAGAGACGCAAGTGATACAGAGTCCCGCTAGTATTTCAAACTCTTTCATTCTATCACGTTTTTCGAAATCGTTCTTCGTTTCAGTTTCCCGGCTGTTTTTCATCTTCTTAAAAAGATGACGTGATATTCCGATGTTAGGTATAGGATATTAACCCTTAACAGGAACGCGGGGTGTCAAACACCCCAAAACAAAGTTTAGGCGTCTTTTTCGGTCGGTTAATCTATGAATTTCGCATCGCAGTGCTATCTTGTCGTTAGTTCGAGTCACCAATGACACATTCCTGACTTAAACATAAAATAAAAATAAGTTTTCTTATAAAAATCAAGATTTCAATTCAGAAAAAAGGGGCACAGGCGATCATGAAAATAAATACCTTTTTTATACCCACTACAATCATAATTTTTTTCGTAAAGTACTCTATCTCAAGAACATCGTGTTAAATTTTTATCAAAAAATATTTATTTTTGACTGAGATATGATTTTTTAGCAAAACAAGCCATTTTTCATACAAGAATTTTTTTGAAGCCTCAAAACAAAAAATTTCATAGTTTAGGCTAATGGGTATCATTTTCCAGTGTTTAATGTATGTACTTGATTTTTTTCAAGCCTATTGGAGCCTCCATTTCGCCATAACCAACGTTCAAAGTCGTGTGGGGTATACAACACCCCGCGTGCAGATAACGTTCGATCGCGGACGTGTGCCAGTTAAGGGTTAACAAAAACGAGAAACTCACCCTGCCGACGAAGAAGCGGCGATAGCACTTGGCCGTGTCGTCCTGGTCTATCCTGGGCTGCCAGGCCGGCTGCGCCGGCAGCAATGCTCTGCCGGCGGAATCGAGGGTATGTCGATGATCTTTACCGTCGACCCAGTACCCGGACGGCGTGACGACTAAGGGTGGCTGGACGCCGGTCGCGGCTTGCTGCAAGGCTGCTTCCATCAGCGCCCTACCCAAGGGCGCGTCGCCGACCGGCGACGGTGATAAGGTCGAGGTGTGATTGCCGGGTGCACCACCGGGACTCGACGTCGTCCTGTCATCTCTCGGTGTCTGCAACAAAATTACAAACCTTCATTAATTCATCTGAAATCTGATCAGTCATTCGAGGTCGCGCGAAGTATTCAGGTAGATGTTGGCATGCACAACAAGTATATTGCTGCACATAATTATAAATCGAGAAATTTTATTTTCTTATACTATATACAGCTAGAATATCGTTTGTTAAAAAGTAGCCGTGAATTTTCTTAATTTTACTCTTTTAATTAAACTTCTGTTTGTATTTAACAGTTAAATGCTACCTTGTACTAAACATTGTTATTTAATATTATTAATTATGAATCTAATGGGGAAGGACGATACAGAACGTCGCGCGTCTCGATACACATACATCAACCTCTTCCTGTTCATTAATTCATCCGAAGTCTGATCTACATTTTTGGGCAAGATATTCCAATAAATATAGTAGATAGTTTCCTTAATTTTATTTTTTTAATTAAACACTTTCGTTCACATTTAACAAATAAATGATACCTTGTGCTCAATCTTGATATTCAATACTAATCACGAATCCAATAGGGAAACACGATATTATACAGAACGTCGATACTTCCACATCAGTCTCTTCCTGTTCATTAATTCATCCGAAGTCTGACCTACCTTCGTACAAAATATTCCAGAGGATATTGACATATGAAGAAAGTAACGTTATTGCGCATAATTATAGATTGAGGAATTTAATTTTCCTAATACGCAGCTAGAATACCGTTTGTTAAAAAGTAACAGTGGATTCCCTTAATTTTATTCCTTTAATTAGACATTTTCGTTTGCATTTAACAATTAAATGTTACCTTGTGCCAAATATCGATATTCGATATTATTATTAATCATCACGATGATTTCGAGGGAAAAGCACAATACAGAACGCCGACCCCCCCCCCCCCACATCAACTTCCTCCTCTTGATGTAACCGAGCGTTATTGACTACTTGTTTATCAGTCACCAATGTAGGTGTTCGATTGCTCGTTTTCGTGGTCGGTGACGTTGATTGCTTCGTATTGCTCATACATACATCTCTCTATCCTTCGTGGCAAACACGATCGATCGGCCTGGGAGAAAGAAGCGCGAGCGAGAAGGAGTCACGCGTGTCGTAAACGTCGTCGTAGAGAGATCGAGGCGAGTAGGTCGAACGGTACGACCGCGACGGCGACGATCCTATACGCTGGCGACGATTGGAGAATCGGTAACGATACACGTCCACGTGTCACCGTACACCGAGCGCACCCACGCAGAGATCCTGCGGACGCTAACTGGTCGGATATCGACTGTTACTCGATACGACGATACGAGTATTCGGTACTCGTCCCGCGGCGAAGCGCGGCAACGCATCGATAATACATGTAACTCTAAGCGTCTCGCCCACGCGCGCGGAAACACATCAGCCGGATAATTAATTGCTTATTCGACAGGACATTAATGTCCGCGTAATGTCGGCGACACTCTTGGACGATGCTTGGAGTACGCGCGCGATCGGCTTTATCTCGCTACCCCGACCGACGTGAAAAGTTTCGCATTTTCTTGCTTCAAGCATAATACATATAACGTTTTTCGATTATTCTAATGGAAGAAGAAGAGCGGCGTTCTCCACTGGCGATTAGCCGCGTGCAGTTAAGCGCTATTGCTTTTGCGATAGTTGCGCGCCTCGAGCACCTGCGAATTTCTCCAGCTGCGTAAACGCGGTCGCGCATAAAAGTGCGTTTTCTCCGGGTCTTCATTAGGCTAGAAGATCGCGGCCTACTCATGTCGACATGCATTTAAGTGTAATCTAAATTCAACTCCAAATCGCTCGCACGAAGTTTAAACTCGACTTCTTTCACGTGCCCTCTCCCCTCTTCACCCCCTTTCGCTCTCTCGGATTTAATTCGAAGTGCAACCTGTAAATGTATCCTCTCGTAAGAATGCATTTGATATGAATTATTATCGAAAATAGAAAAAAGTATACTAGAAAAAAAAAAAAAACAACTTGCTACTCTCTGCAAGCAAAAGTCTCTGGAAACATTCGATCAGGAGACTTCGATCGAGTTTCGGAGGCGCGCACGCGATCGGTCATCGGATCGATATATGTATATGACCCCTCTCGACGAAATAACACTTTATCCTCGTGCAAGCCGCGATAGCTTTATCGATCAGCGACGCAAGCCGGATTACGTTACTACGCGTCTCACTCGCTCCGCTACATGCACGTGTGCCGCATACGACCGATACGCGACATATAGGAAGCACCGGCACGATTTAGTTATCAAATGCCACTACGAAACGACACGACGTAATGATCGCTATGATCGGCTGATCTCGATTAAGTAGTCAAATTGGGGATTATTAACGTTGTCGATCGCGAGTTAATTCGCGCGACAATTAGGTACGGGATCAAGTTCGATATATGTATTAAAAATCCAAGTCAAATCCAATAATCAAGTTTTATTTTCTATATAGGTTTCCAGTAATAGTAAAAAATAATATTTTATACATTGTGCTTGTAAAATAATCGATTTCAACTAGGTTTGTTTTGAATTTTAGTATGAATACTTGCAGGATTTAAAATGTATCTACTTATTAATTTCTATCTTAAAAAATAGTCTTTTACAAATAATAACTCGAATTCTAAGAATAAAGTTAATTGTTAGTTTAAAGAAAGTAATGCGTGTAAAGGTTTTAAGTAACTTTTAGTCTACATTTTTATTTATATTTTTATTATATTTAATTTTAACGATTAATAGTCTAATATTTATAATTATCAAAAAACAATCTTATATTAAAATAATTACCTCTTTATACAAACGTTTTGAAGAAACGTCAAATTTCTAGTAAAGTACTACGAAAAAAGAAAAAATATCCGCAATAACATACTTGAGTAGATTCGAGTCCTGCTGGAAGTAATACTCTTGTTTTTCGAGTTATTCATAGAAGGTTCGAACCTATTTCGTCCAGGTTCGGGTCTACTCGAAAGTATTGCTTTTATTTTTCGAAATCATAGAGAAACTATACAAACAGATTCAAACCTACTTGTAAGATATCCAATCCTATCGCTTAGCGACGATCTTCCGAGAAGCATATTACCTATATAGTCTCGATCCGCATCCGATTCTAGTCCGAGCATATATCGCAGGTAATTCTAACGATACTGAAGATATTTTAAATCATGTGACTCTCTTTAAAGAAAAAGTTGATTAATTGCTTAATACCACGAACGCTATAGTAAAATTTTCATTACGATAAGCGTATAATGATAAAATATTGTGTAATATGATATTAAATAAGACTAAATCCTCATGAGTATTGTGTTGAGTTACCGCACACTTTTTACTTCACACTGTTAATAGCTATTTATGCTCTCTAAATCTGAATCAGTGAATAGTCTGATTCAGATTTAGAGAGTGTCATTCAAAATGTTATACTAGATAACGTTCATTTTTTATAAGCGTTTACAAGATTTTGATAGCATTGATCACTAACGACTACTGTAGTGTTAATTTGTTGCGATCACAGATGGGAGTTTTCCTTAGGATTTTATATGTTATGTCGGGGACTCACGAAGACCGTGCAACGTGCAACGCAACGGTTGCTGCAACTAGTGAATACGTCTTATTCCGGAACAAATCTACTGTGAAAAAATTGTAGCAACCGTTGCGTTGACGTTGCACGGTCCTAGTGAGTACCCGAGTCGAAATTTTTCTCCTATTTTCGACCTCAATGTTCAATCTAGCACCTACTTTCGACCAAAATGTTCTACCTAACACCTACTTTGATACTTTAAGCAGTCACATCACCCTATTTTGAATCTCTTCAACCTCTTCAACCTCTGGCTCCTATTTAGAATCTGACAATTCTGTTTGAAAAGAAATCATGCTCCTACTTTAATGTTCCTAACGTTTTCTTAATTTATTTATTGCATTTAATTTATTTTTATTATTATAGGTTTATTATATTTTTGATTAAATATTATATATGATTTATTAAACGTTTATAATAACGTTTATAATAAATGTTTATAATAACGGTTCTCTCTATTTATTAATTTAATCAAAAATAGTAAAAACAAAATTAAAAGGAATTTTATTAGGTTAATAATAATAGTTATATTATTGATAACTAAAAAAAATAATTTTATATATGACGTATAAATGATTATTTATATAAAAGTGTATTTTTCTATATTATTTTTTCCTTTTTCTCTTTTTTTTCTTTATTTATTAAAATAATTCAAAATAAAATTAAAAGAATGTGTGTATGTATGAGTACGCATGCGTATATGTGAAACTAAAGGTAGGAAATTTTAAATATATACAAAACTATTACAAAACATCTTTCTTTTTGTTATTACTTCTTATAATTACTTATCTTCATATATTTACATGTTACTAAATTTACGATAATTGAATATGGACTGGTATTTATTTATTCAAGCTCTTGCCCAATCAGCAGACAATGTTTTTTAAATGTGTTTTTAATATTCATTTTTTATTAATTATACATTTGTACAATTCATTGTAAAAATAATATTTATTTAATGTTTATTAAATATTTATTTCACATTGATTATTTATTTGAAGTAATAATTTAGAAAAAATATTTATTAAACGTTTATTTAACGTTTATTTAATATTTGTTTTACATTAGTAAGTTATTTGCAATAAGTTAAAAAAACATTTATTTAACATTTATTCGACATTATTTTAATATTTATTTTACATTAAACATTAACTATTTATTTGCCATAATGAATTGAAAAAACATTTATTTAACATTTATTCGACAGTAATGTAATATTTATTTTACATTAATTATTTATTTGCAATAATGATTTAAAGAAACATTTATTTGACATTTATTTAATATTAATTTAATATTTACTTCAGATATTGCGCTCGAATTCCTTCGCGTTTTGCAAACGCCCGATCGTTTCATTCAGATGTAGATGGCGCGACGCGTGAGTCGCCACTTTCAAAGCGCCCCCACTCTTTCCTCGCTCGGCTCGCTCTCGTTCAGTCAGTTCA